ATGATCATTTCTATTACTACGTTAATTAGCAGCAGTCAGAATTTTTGACAATATATGTTCAGCTTCCTTAAACCCAAACATTTTTCAAAGCCTTGTGTGTGTGTGTGTGTGTGTGTGTGTGTGTGCATCTATTTTGTTTTTTGTTTTGCACCCGCGTTATTTCAGCGATCAAAATACTCCCCCTAAAAGGAATTCTGTGGCATTTAAAACCAGTTTGACTATCTTTGTTGTGATGAGCCTTGCCTATTATGTGAAAAAAGGACAAGATCAAAGCTAAAATACCATACAATAAATTAAACGGTGACTGAAATCAAGACTAATGACCTCAAATGACGCTGACGTCCCAAGTCAAGTACTGAGGCTGGAGTCCTAGTCACTCCGATTTGGAAAATTTATTGGAGTACATGGAACTGAGATCTGCATAAATTTGCATGGGATCTGCTTTCGAGGAGTCATTTGAGAAAGAAGGTTTTATTCCAGCCCACAGTTAATTTCATCTGGCCAGAGACTAGGGGTCTCCTCCGCTCATGCGGGGAGAAGAATTTCGGCAGCTGTAGCGGAGATGCCCTCCTCTGCCAGTCTGATCCATGGCGCAGAAGCCTTGCCCGCTGTTGCATCTGGCCACCTGAATGCGCGTCAGTTACGCAGGGGAAACAAGAAGCCAACGCCCGCGAGGGAGGCGGAGCGGGAGAGAAACGTGAAGAACGCGAAGCGGAGGTTGTCTGGGATGCGGGCGATGTCTTCGAACGAAAGAATTCCCTTTCTACGTTAATCCCAAGCAAACCTTCTGTCGCGCCACCTGCAAGTATTGGGTCCCAATGCCCGAGTATTATGGTCTGTCCACCGCAACGGACAGCCCTCGTACTCCGAAGACGGGTTAGCCCTTCCCCCTTCGTGCAGACTTGGTCTGCTAGGGAACAGGATTTCTGTGGGTTATGCAGGGAGGCCCGAGGCCGTCCCAAGATCCCTTGCTGCCTGAGGCCAGGAAAACAGTACCCTCCGCCCCTAATTCTACAGGCAAAATCTGGCTGCAGTATTTTCTGCAACACTGAGAGTGGCAGAGCTTCTTCCACCAAGGCTGCAGGTTAGCTTTGAGGGTCACAGAGCCCTGTGCTCCGAACACAAGTGTCCCCAGCCCAAGATCTAACGGTAGAGCCGGCCCCGGTGCTATGAACCCATGTTGTCCGAAGAATCAAGTCTGGCTCCTTTCCTGCGGCCAGTTTAGAAATCCCAGATGTACCCCAGACCCTGTCAGACGGCGGGAGAGCGGACCTCTTGCTCTCGGTTCCCTTCTACGGCGCCCAAGGAGAGGAGAGGCTAGGGGGGGTCCTTACCTGTTGGCGGCCAGCCGGGACGAAATGTAGCCCCCGGGGATCTGTGTGATTATATAACCCCAGAAAAATGAGCCGTGGATCATGCCGACGGTTTCCGGATCCCAGCTGAACTTCGCTTTCTTCCGAAACCACCAGGCAGAGGAAGAAAAGGAGGGTGGGGGAAAGGAAAGAAAAGCTTCTTGTAAATATAGGTTGGATGAAGGCAATTCAGAAAAGATGGTGCTGAAAAAGCTTGGCCGGGGTGAGTAGGTATAAAAACAAAACAGAACCGAACCAGGGGTCTTGGGGCACCTTGAAGACATTTAGATTCCTTTCAGGGTGAGCTTTCCCGCATTATCATTCACGCCCTGCACAGAAATTCAAATTGAATGTGGTTTTCAATTTAGCTCGCTGAGTCTAGCGATTATCCTACATCATCATCTTCATCATCATTTTAAAGGACAGGTTGTAGCAGAAATGGGAGTACATTTAGGGCCAGGATGTTTGAGGGGTGTGAGTGTGTTACCATATTTAAAAAATATAATAATATACTACGATTGTGGTTATTACAGTCTGAAGGTTACGATAATCCAGGATTTTAATAGCAGCGATAACCATTCTTCTATCATCTTTCGTCTAGAGAAGGACGACAAAAGAGCCAGCCAGATTCCTAGGGTATCTCTTGGCTTAGGCCAAAAATATATCTTAAAGAAAATTCTCCGGATTCGTGTAGAACCCATCAGAACCCAAATTGCTTTCCCTGTGGAAAGAAGAAAAGACTTCACCGATGGCTTCTAAGATTTGGTTCTGAATTCAAATGTAGTTCTCGAAATGAATGGTTGTCGGGTTGTTTGCTTGGATTGTTTGTTGGAAGCGTGGGGTTTATTTATAAACCCTTCCACGTCTTTGGGTATTTCGTCGGGCATAAATATCTTTTTTGGAAAAAACACTATACAAAACTATTTCTAGAAATGTACTATGTGCAGATGGATTCACTGCCTAAAGGAAGCCACAAGCTTGAGTCTACAAGAGTTGAGCAGGGCAACTGAGGACAGGACATTTTGGAGATGGCTCATTCATTAGGCTCGGCAGATAGCAAAGAAAAGAAACTACAGTATGTCCATTTATTCTCCTTCATCCTCACTCATCAGCTTTGGGGTTTCTTGATCGACATTTACCTCATTTGCCTTCTATTCTTAATTTTTAAAAATTTATTTATTTCATTTATACCCCGCCTATCTGGTCATTGCGATATTCTGCACCATCATCACGGTTTGTTTTGTTTCATTTTATTGACGGTGTTGCTGACCTAAAGCGGCACCCCTGATCTGGAAACCTCAGCAGCATCTCGTTAATTCGCCCAACCAAAGAGCTAAATATTTTATTTTATTGACGGTGTTGCTGGCCTAAAGCGGCACCCTTGATCTGGAAACCTCAGCAGCACCTCGTTAATTCGCCCAACCAAAGAGCTAAAGAAGACCTTCTCCGTCCTTTTCGGGGTTTTGCTCCTGGGTGCAATAATCACCATTTATTGATAAGCAATAGAGGCCTCGAATAGCGAGGGAATATTTGTGACTGATCGATTTTAGGAAGGGCCGGGTTTTCAGACATTGCCACGTTAATAAGCAGCTTCTGCTTTGGTGCACGGAGTTCCTAATAGGGCGTCTTTGGGGTTGCTCTCAGCGTCACTCACAGTGGGATCGCCTGGATTCCCATCGATCGAGTTTGCTGTCCTGCTGAACACACGTTACTGGCGTCTACGTCCAGATCAGATCAATGGAATTTGCTTCAAAGTCCGCTATTTGAGGGTGGGATTTAAGTCCCATTCATTTCTCGGGGGAGGGGAGCTGTTGCCTTCTGAAATACAACCGGGTGACTTAACTGCTGTGCTTGAGATGTTATCTGTATGAGTGTGCGATCTGTCTGTGTTTGACTTCGGATTGAGGGGACCTCGATTCAAATCCCTTTTTCCCCACTTTAGGCCCTTTCACTGGCGCTTGACCTAACCTACGTACTTTCCAGGGTTGTTACGAAACTAATACGAGGGAAGGAGAAATGGGCCGGCTGGCTGAAACTCTTTGGAAGAAAGAAGAAGCTGGAAACGGGGGAGGGGGCGGCCGAAAACAGGGCACTCCTGCGTGGAAACAGGAAAAAGTAAAAATCGGGAGGAAATGTCCAGAAAAAAGTTAAGATTCTCCTAATGCGAGTAAAGGAAACAGGAAGGCCCGGATGGGGAAGGAAGTCGAGCCTACATCGTTGTGGTGGTGGTGTTTGTCACTATTGTGACGCCCTTGTGATCGCTTCTTTTCTATCCCGATCATGACCCTCTTTCGTGAGATATGGAAACCAGAGGCTAGCATACTGGCCATATTTAGACTCTGCTTCTTTTACAAAATGAATATTTTGAAACCTGAAGGGCATTTGGAAGTCATTCTCGCTGTGGTTGTGCACTGAGAAGGACATGAAGGGAGGGGAGGGGAGGGGAGGCGGGTCCTCGCCAGCCCTGCCTCACCTCTTTGATGACTTTCCCTCCCCGGTGGATTGTGCTGTTATTGACCATGTCCACGATGGCGACTCCCAGGTTACACCGGATGCCGAAGGAAATGCAGAAGCCCAGTCCACTCATGATGGCAATGATGTACCTCCGGGGCAGCCCGAAGCAGGTGCAGTCGCACAGGGGCCCTTTCTTCGCCGGCACTTCCAAGGGTTTCCCATCTTCCGTCAGCTCGATGTTGTCCCCGGTCTTCTGCCTCTTCTCGAGGACTCTGCCCAAACAAAGCGGAAATCGCGGTCAAAGGACTCCCAAGGGGACACACACACACACACACACACACACACACACACACACACACACACACACACACACACACGAAGGCCACTCGCCCTGTCCTGCCATACTGTAATTACAGTGATCGTAATTCGCTAGCAGGAATGGATGCGTGGGTGGGGGTTTTAAAGACATGGCCGGTGAACATAGGGCTGAATCTGAATCAAGGATTCCAGCTAAGCCTCTGGAACATGGGAACGAATAAAGGACATGTATAAAATGCCTCTGCCTCTCCACTGATAACCACTGTCAAGGCCCACACTCACGAGATAGATAAGGTGTGGTATAGGCACGCCAGGGAACTTCCATTCCCCCTTTCTCTCTCTCTCTTAAAATTACACCGCTGTAGGAGAGTTGGGTTTCCCGAACGGATTCAAGGAGCTTCCGCCCAGACGCCTGCCTGCCTTCCTTCCTTCCTTACATGTGTGCTTAAATGCGTATGAGGCACACCAAGTCCTTCTAGGACTGCAGAGTCGCCATGTTGGCTGCTAACCGCAAGGAGGAGAGATGCCGGGAGACACACAATCAGCAGCGGACGAGGTGACTTGAGGTTGAGGTCGGCTTTGACGGTTTCATGACATAGACCAGAGAGAAGTGTTCCGGCCCCATGCCTCGCAAGACGGCGCGATGGAAGAGAAGAATCGTGCATTTTCCAAGACCAACAGGCATCATCTGGTTCTGTTTCAAGGCTCAAAATGGCTGTCTTCTTCGGGCCACCAAACGAGTCTTGCGTTTCAGCGGCATCTTATTGTCAGGAGAATGCTTTCCGATTTAAAATGTGCTGAGCTTTTCAAAGGTTCGGAAGATCACTAACGCAGCCTACTCGGAAGTAAGTCCCTCGTCCCCCCTCCCCACACACACACACACAAAAGGAGACTTCTCTCCAGCTTACGCGTGTATAGGACTGAAGCCTTAATGGCTTTCCTTTTCTCTCTGTGTTGCTCACTGCCACCCATATCAAGGCTTCACTCATCTCCGTGTACGAGGGCGTGGGCAAAGAGACAGGCACTGAGGGCAGAGAACCCCCCCCTCTCTCATTCTGTCTATAACCAATCCTTAACACAATATGGATGGGTTTATACTCAAAGGCTGCTGCGTTATATTAACATCGTGGATTGAAGTCTTATTGATCCAAATGCGCCTCTGTTTCTCTGTTCCTGGGATGCCCTTCAGCTGTGTGACCTAAATTTATTCTCGCCTTTCCCTCTTCTGCAAGGTAGACCTGGACATTTGACTAAGGTTTTTCCCCTCCTTCTCCACCCAGGGTCTGCATAGCGGAACTCTCCTTCCTTGGAACCCCTCCCTCCTTTCTGCAGTTTTGAACAGGTGAGCAAAGATAAAGAAGGACCGTCTCGATGAGGACGGTCTGCAAATGCTCGTTTAATGCTGTTCTCTCCGTCGCGGGAATTCGATAGGCATTTCAGGATCAACAGCAGCCGACCGACTCATAAATTCCTTTACTAACTAACTTGGAGATGTCAGTTTTCCTTATGAAGCAACACCAGAAATCTCAGGGCGAACAATTCAGTTCTTAACTTCGACGACAGAACAGAACGTCGGGTGACCCACCCAGTGCCAATCTCACCCAGGCAATATCAGAAATAATTCACAATATTTTATAGTTACATGGCCCTTTTTCAGTGACACAGCTGTTCTAAGGCTCAGTTCTCCTTGCCCACGAAACCCGTTAAAGAAGGATTGAACAATAACCCCCCCTCCTTTTTTTGTAATGTAAAGTTAAGGAGAGGTTATGACGAGTCCTCTCCTCCGTCGAAGACCTCTTTCCAAGTTTCACGGGAATTTAAACATTCTCCGAATTGACCTGACACGCGAATACAATTTTTGGTTTTTAAAAAGCACGGAAGTGCAGAGATCCCACCATAGTTTGGTCGACACGCGTACATTTCTTCAGGAAGGAAGCAGGGGCCTTCATTTGTAAAACAAATTAACAGTGCATTTTCGTCAAATTTCGTTCTCTCCCCTCCCCTCACATCCGCCACCCTCCCCTGTCGACTGAAAGCAACATTTAGGGGGATGCGCAGGATGGGAGGGATTTGGCGGGCCGGGAGGTGGCAAGTTAGATCCAATCCTTGTAACAGACATGGCCGCATGGCTTTGGGATTTATACTTCATTGGAACCCCGATTTCCTGGTTGCTGAGCAAAGACGGCGAATGTAGTCTTTTCAAATATTGTAGTAAAGAACTGGAGTGCTGCAAAGGTAGCTTTCCTCATTTAAAGCGAAAGGTGACCTTGGAAGTCCGACTGAGCTCAGGGGGAGATAGAAATTAGGATTATTTAAAAAATAATAATAATAATTAAGAAGCCAGGTTGAAATAATGTCGATATAATATTAGTTTTTTTTTCTTTTTAAGATGCCATTATTTGCACTGACGGCGGCTTTTGATTTTGAGCCTAGTTTAAGTCACAGGAAAGGTTCCACGGTTTTCGCATTCCGTTGGGATTCTCTAGAATGGAATTCAAGTGTTTCCAGGTGCATTTCCCAGACCTTACGCTTAGCTCTGTAGTGTTGCATTCGGACACGACGACCTCTTCCAGAGAACAAACCCTGAACTTCAAGTTTCTTGCCTTTAGCCTCCCCCCTCTGCGTGTCTTCCAAAGAGCCAGAGAGAAGACATTAGATGATCAATTATTTATGCATCTCCATGTTTTTTCTTCATCTGAAGGGCGAGCGCGCTGGGGAACCGGGGACTCGGGCTCCGAAAAACTGTGCCTGTTGGTTTTTTAAGAGAGGAAACTTTCCTACACATTCATGATAAACCGGGGCGGGGGCGGGGAATGCAACCAAAAGACTCTCTTTTTGCAACACAAGATCATTGTTTGCAGTGTTCTCGATTTGTAGCTCTAAGCACATACAGGCACCCGCGCAAAGACACGAATAAAAATTACAGAGGGCTTAATTTTCACAGGGAAGCAAATACTACTGAAAGGAACAGCACTCTTTTATAAATGTATTTTGCAGATGATAAAAATACAGGAGAGCCAAATAATTTTATATCATTCTATTAAAGTTACAGCCCTGGTTAGCAAAAAACCAAAGAATCAGCTCTTTAGTTAAATCTGCATATGAAATGATTCTCCTAATAGAAGTAACAGTCAGGAGTCTCCGTTTACAAAACTTCGTGCTATTCCTTTTTTAAAATGTCTTTGGTAGACCGCCATTTCTTACCTGTAGAGTTGACCAAGCGATTTCCCTGCGAGATTTTTCAGCCCCTCCTTGCCCGGGGTCAGAACCTTTTGTTTCACCGACTCCATTCTTGCAAAGGATTTAAGAGGCGTTCACTCTGTTGACGAGGGCACCCTTACAAACGCTGGTGATGGCTCATATTGGTTCCATGTCTAACTTTTCCCCCATAAAATGGCTTTAGGTGGTGTGCATCTAGAAGGTGCGCGTGCGTGTGTGAGAGAGAGGAAGAAAGAAAGAGGGAGTGTGTGCGAGAGTGGTGAGGAAAGCAGTGGACTCTGTGTACGTGTATATGTGTGTGACTGTAGGAGTGGAGGAGGAAGAGCTCAAGGCAGAGAAAGGAGACGTCTGAGTGTCTACCTGCAGCCCACGGATTTCTTAACTGCTCAGAAGTTGTGAGGCCCAACTAGAAGGTCTTCTTGGAGGCAGGGGTCCGCTAGCGAAACGTGCAGAAAGAGCTACCAGTGGCAAAGAGAACAATCTCGATTGAATGTCCAAAGCATTAATAAAATCCTGGCGAGCTGTTGATTATCTCCTTGCGTTTTGGTATATGTAGAAGTAGAGAGACGCCAAATGCAGCAGGTTTCAAAACAGGATGCATACAAACCTTCCCAGTGTCCGGCTCATACCAGTTCCCTGAGACTTGTACTACGAACTCAGGAATAACAATGCTGTTTTTTCAAAATTTGTGTGCATTGTACCAGACACCTGCTCCAGTGCTGGACAGAATAATTCAAAGGAAAGTGGGGTGGGGTGTCACACGGAGCGCGATTTAGCAGTTTCTGTCTACGTCTTCTCTCCCTCGCCTTCGGGGAGACTTCAGCACCACAGACAGCTCCCCAGGAACAACATGCGAGCCGGATTGTTTTCAGCACTATGGAGAGTGCAAGAGGAAGCGTTTTCCACCCGCAACGTTCTTGGGGAATTGGGCGGACTCATTACGATGAAGTCAATGAAAAGTGGGTGCCATGGAAACCAAAGAGGAGCCGAGTCAAGGTCTCTCCAGCTCCAGGTTTTCCAGAAAGCAGTGTCGTTCTCTAAGAAAATGGGGGTTTACAAACTGATGGCAATTAACTTTTGGATTCCCACGTCTGACTCCGTTTCCTGACGCATAGGCTGACCCAGTTGCACAGTGCAGTCTCCACAGTGCATTTCAGCAACCGTTGCTGCAGTAGAGAAGTATTAATTAAATACTTCCAACCAGGGAAAAGTACAGCCAATCATCCAATAGTTAACAACCTGTGATATAGAGATGATTGGTCCTTTATCATGTAATTTGTATTTATTTCTCTAACCTAATGTAGAAATGAACATTTACCATATGGACAGAATAATATACTCTACTGGGCATCATCCAAGAATATACAGTATTGGGTGTCTTTCAAATAAGAATACTGTTAGTGGAAATGATTTCCACTCACTGTGTTGGTTGTAGACCCTCTAACACAGTTGTGGGTAGATGGAAGACAGGCAATGTCACTGTATGGTAGAAGTGCTTGCAGATCAAATTGGATATACTGTACCTCACAAGATTTATATGGCATAATTATACACCAATCTTTGGAGCATCATTGTTTCTTGAACACATAGAGCTGATTAATACCTTATACATTAATCTATTCTCAAATGACTATGGCTTCTGAAGCTCAGAATACAGTTGAGCAATATTATTTACAGCAGCAAAGCTGAGATGGTTTGTCATTTGGTCAGATGAAAGGTAGAGTCAAAAAATCTGAAGGATGCTGGAAGCAGAGTACCTTCAAAGCGCCTTCTTTATATTATATACATATATAAAATGTTCTTCCCTAATGTATTTTGATAACTCTTTCTATAACCTTTGTAGACATGTCCTTGCTCTTTATGAATATCACGAATAGAAGGATTTTATTCACAGCAAAACCAGCAGACATACTTACTCAGGAAGAATGTACTGTATCCCTGTTGCTATGTTCTAAATACATTGTGTTTCATATGATTAGAAGATTTCACTAACAATGCCCTCTGGTGGAAGGACAATGACATTTGATAACATTTCCATTAATTTAGAATCTTATTGACCACTCTTGATATTTTTTCTATGTCAAATGACACAGTGCCATTAAAATGTAAGTGTAAAATATGTATCTAACAAAAAGAGTGTAGCAAATAAAACTATAGTGCCTTATGATCACTCTAAGCTGATAATTATGTTAGCCTTATTCATCTGCAGGCATTATACCTTCATTTGATTTCTGAAATCTCACTTGTGAATATAGCATTTAGGGGGGGAACCAGAATATGGAAATAAATAATCCTGTTTCACTCAACATTTTAAGGCTGTCACCCAGTTAAGCACATTTAGAATGCGGAGCGAGGCCTGGGAATGCAGGCCTCCTGGGACAAGGAACATCCAAGATTACCTGGAGTGTGTGTTACTGTTGGGGGTTACACATCCTGCCACCTGTATATCCCTGGGCAAGCTACACAGTCCCAGAACACCACTAGGAGAAAAGACAAGTAAACCACTTCTGAGTACTTTTATATTTTGAAAACCCTGAGAGGACAGCCTCAATGTGGAATTAACTTGTAACACAGTGTTTGTTAATCGTTGAATGGTTTTAACTATTAGTCTACATACATTTGCCTGTTACTAGGGCATTTATTCTATTTAAAAAGGATGGATTTTTTATTAGATAACACTGTGCGAAAAACACTTTACAGTAGTCAACAATATGTAAGATGCAACCCCTTTTGAGTCTCAAGCTTCAAATGTTTTTATATAATGTTTGATGACTTCTTTATTGGCTGCAAGGTAACTGTGAACTTTCTTTCAAGTAGTCAAATAATTGTAACTGATTAAGAAATATCCTAAGAGATATCTTGCATACAAACTTGTCATTGCTGTTGGTGCAATAACTGTTGAGAGAGAGAGAGAGAGAGAGATGCATAGAATTACACCTGCAGACTATATATTCTTTTTTCAGAATAACAAAGGTAGGCTGCTCATATTAAAATGTTTATTAAAAGCCAAGAAGAAGATATTAGAGAATGAAGAAGAATATCATTATATACCTTTGATTTCTAGTAATTAAAAAATAATAGGATGCTCCAAAAATGTGTGATTGTAGGTGATGTCACCAGGCATATTTCTGTGCTTGATTCAGCAGTTGTCTAACCTACAGAAATTATACACAGTTTGGAAAAGTGGCCATGCCAATGGTGCTGATGGGGAGGCTGTCACTCAGTTAAACACAGTTGGGAGCCTCAGTCCTGTTTCAGTTATTGGTAGGTTAATCTTTTACCATCTCAACACCGAATTTCACCAGTAACAGAAACAGGATTGAAACATTCCATGCCTCTTAATAGAATGGTTGTATTTTTTTTTTTCATATTACAGTATCTTTCCCCAAAATTACTGCTGAGGGGGAGAAGAACAGGGGGGGTCTCTGCTGCAATAACAGCTTTGGATCAGGACAGAAGATAATGACTGGTAAGTACGATCTCTCTTCCCCAGTTTTCAGGAGTCATGGCTGCTTGAAAAGCAACCAACAGGAATGCAGTTTCCAGGGAAATCTCTGAGTTACTGCTGAATGATTGGGTAACAGAGGGACAATCATCATGCTGAAAAATGCTGCAGTCCATCCTATTCATGGTGTCACTTTTCAGCAGAACAAGCTGCAAGTTCACCCCTAATTCTGACAGCAGACAGAATGAGGCAAAATTGCAATTCTTAGCAAGAATATAGATTTATTTTGCTATGAGATTCAGGAAGTGTTCTGATATATTCTTCTGATTATATGGCTCATTGCATTTGTGTTTTCACATCAAAGGAATTTCTACCAATTTAAGAATAAACACAGAAAATGCACACATTCCTTGGAATAAGTTCCCATTGAACTCAGTAAACCTTACTTCTGAGTAGACATGTCTAGGATCACCCCACAGAGACTACATGACTAGCTCTTCAAGGGCTGGGAAGGGATCTTTCCCTTGGTTAATCTCTCTCTCTCTCTCTGCATGTATTATGTGCTGTCAAGTTGGAACCAACTTATAGCAACCCTAAATAGGGCTTCCAAGGCAAGTGAGATATTTAAGGAGTGGTTTTACCAGTTCTACTCCCCCAGTGAGTTTCCACATCTGAGTGGGGATTCAGACCTTGTTCTCTAGAGTCCTAGTCTGTCACTCTATCCAAGAACTGGAAATCACAATTAGTCTAGCTAGTAATCATCATTTAGTATTCCCACAATTCCTGATCTGGTTCTTATAATAGCATTTCAACTTGCAGAAACCTGACATCTGATTTTACCTCTGCAGGGATAGAGGTGATAACGTTCCCCTGCTAATTATTTCTAAGTTAGTCTTTTAAAAAATGAGAGCTGTTAAAAAAAAGCCACAACACTGTGAAGTAGGACACAGACTGTGAAATGACAGGGCCTTTATGGAGGACTTGTGGGGACTATCTGCCAACATGGTTACCAGTGCTTATGGTTCCTGTCCCTGGGTGTGGTCACAGTCCAAAAAGCTACATTCTACCAATGTATATGATTTGCCATAAACTCAGTTGGGACTTGGGGTTTTAAGACAACGTATTTGTGGTCTTTGCTACTGTATTTTTCTAAGGAGAAACATTTATTCCTAGCACCCCAAATTTAACACGAATCCTTTCAAATTCATGTACATGACCTGAGATTCATATGTTAAAAAAAACAACAACAACAACCTTCAAGCCTTGGTAGCACTGTGACAGGTTTGGGCTAAACCTGATAGAATTGTTAAATGAAGTTTTGTACATGACAATAAGTATTGTCAGGATCAGTATTGTAAAAGTGAAGCAAAGCTTGAATATACACAGCTGAGGTAATGGGAACAGCTGTGAATGTAATCCTAGAATTGGTCAATACTAGGATGAAACTAGCAGAGCAAGCACACACAATCTGTGGGTTGTTGGTGGTGATGCTGGTTGGTGTATTTGTGGAGAAGAGTCGTCTTGTTCCTGTGCTGGAGAATCCTGGAGGAAGCCGTGTCTATGAGCTTGGAATTGAAGAGGAACTCTGGCTACCTGGATGGAACGTATGGTATACGACTACTGAACTTATTTACTGGACATTGAAACTGATATATGCACTAAACTCTATGGAAACTATTGTGCATTACTTTGGGACTGAGAACAAAGGCCTATCTGTAAATATACCTGTATATTCTGTAAATAATACAATCTCTGCTATCAACACTACTCTGGTGCTTGGCGTATTCATCATCTCAGGAAAGATCTTTTTGGTTATCGCACCCTGGTGTGTACCTGTACTACTGCTACTCTGTCACACACACATTCCTGAGTCAAGGTTGGGAAGCTTATGGTCTGAAAAGGGAGAAGCCCCTTACCTCAAAAATCTATACCTGGTCATTAGGGTCAACTCCACCTGATCTGTGGACAGCTTTATGTTAGCACAGTGCAGAAGTATGGATAAAATGACAGGATAGATGGTACCAGAGGAGAAACTGTGAGACAATAAAATCCAAGATTTCCCTAGAAGAAGACTGTCAGTCAGTCTTGTGTACCATCCCCACTTAGTGACAGCCACTACTCTGGATAGTTTACAAAATAGAACAGTGAACCCCCCAACCCCTCCAAACACCACCCACATATATACTCAAACAATATGATGAGTACCAATTCAGGTTTTTTTTTAAAAAAAAATCCCTAAATTTAAAAAGTAAAAGTCCGCAAAAGCAGGGACATGTTTTTGAAGGTTACTCTATAAAGTTCTGTCTTTAGCAGTTTCCAAAAAGTCAGAAGGAACAGAGCCTGGTGCAACTCAGATGGACAACTATTCCACAGAGTAGTGGCCACCACTGAGAAGGCCAATTTCTCATTGCTGTCTTTTTTGGCTTCTCTCAGAGTGGCCACCATTAACACTGTGGTTTGGGAGGAGCCTAAAAAATGGGGAGCTGTTTCGGAGACATTCTGACAAATATCGAGGTCATAAACCATTAAGGGTTTTGTAGGTCACCTTGAACTGGGCACAGAAGCTACAGCCTTTGAGA